GCCTTGCAGACACCATGCATCCCGGCACCTTTGCTGGACAGAGGTGGTACCATGTCACCATGTGTAGCTTCAAGTACATTAAAGAGGTTTTCCTTGCTGCTTTTTGGAATATTGCACGACTCAACCTGCAGAAATAAGGATTAGGACTTCAGCACAAGAATGTCTCAAATCATACATAACCTTTTGGAAATATATTAAACATGTGGAACTGCCCAGAATTTCTACAGTACGTCTTGGCTAGAAAAGAAGCAAGAACATCAATAGTCATGGCACGATTCAGATAAGAATGAATCTCTCTGTACCTTCTACCCTTTTGTACTAGCTGCTCTTCCTATTTTACCATATGTGTAAATACCCTCTCTTGCCACAATGACTATAACATGATTAACGTTTCTGATATTCTCACTGAAGTATATTTTAGACTATAAATGAAGAACACATTCCCCAAACCATTAAGTGTTCGAAAAACCATTTTCTAATCGTTCTCGTCTTTACGTAAAGAACTTGTGGTCATCTCAAGGTAATATTCTTCTTCAATATGATACAAGAGCAGATTGTTGTCCTCATAGCTAATATGTTGTCCTCTTTCGAGTATTTCCATTTAATCTATCTGATGAAATAAGAAATATGGCTGTCTAGGTAGTCTAAAATTTGTAATGGGATTATGCTTCTGCACAATCTAGTTGGTCATTTAGTTCGTTCATTTGTTTTATGCTTTCATAAGATGATATAGTTCTATTCACTTAAGCGCATAATCTGTGTTGCGACTTTGTCAATTTATTCTACACAATTTAGGAAGCAGCAGTCAATGGCGTCTAAAGGGACGTTGTCAAATTTGCCACCACCTCCCCAAGAAATCCCCCCAAATGTGGTTCCCATGCAAGTTGAACCAGGGAAAGGTTGCGGATCACTTAGCGAGAGATTAAGGCCAAATTTTAACCAGATGAATGGACCTCGTCCAGGGGTCAAGGGAAAGAAGATACATCTGCTGACAAATCATTTTAGAGTATGCTTTCAAGGTGGCACAAGCCACCTACATTCATACAGTGTAAGTTCATTTTATCTTGGTTTGATTAGTACATGGAAATTTGCAGAGCTAAAATATGGCTCTTTTAACTTGTGAAAGGTTAATGTCCACTATGAAAATGGGGACCCTGTCACCCGAAGGAATTTGATTAGAAAAGTGATTCAAAAACTCTGGGAGATATACAGCTTAGAGTTAGGAGAGCAAGCATTTGCTACTGACGGGCAACAGAGCCTTTTCACCGCCTGTCCTCTACCAAAGAAGAAGCTAGAGTTCACAGTTGTGCTTGATGTTGCAACATCGAAAAGGTAATATAAAGGCTTTAAGCATTTCATTCAATCATCAAATGGGTAATTATTCATCTAGCATCATTTTTTTCTTTTGGTCTTTTGGGCTGGCTGTCTTTGTCTTTAGCAGTAAGACAGATAGCAGCCTTAGTGGCAATGGAGACTTCAGCGAGGGTGATCAAAAGAGGCAGAAGATCATATCCGGATTCAAGACTTTCAAAGTACAGATAACCTTTGTTTCCGTCATCCCCTTTCAGTCCATGCTTGATGCACCAAATGGAGTAAAATCAGGAAATAATGAAGTTCTGAGAGCATTAGACACCATTTTGCAACATTCTAATGCAAAGAGGTGCATAATAATCCACCAAAAGCTAGTTATTTCTAGCCAAAAAAATCAATCTTGACTTTTTATTTTCCCCATTTTTTGTCCTCGACAGAAATTGCCTTTTGCTTCGCCAATCGTACTTCTCCAACGAGATAAGGAACTTCATGGACTTGACTGGTGGTATCCTTGGATGCCGAGGTTTCCACTCGAGTTTCCAATCTGTTCAAGGTGGATTATTTTTTAATCTTGGTAAGTTAATGTACTTTCCCTTGTATTCCTTTCTAACCATTTCTAGCAGTTTTAGTGATGCTTCTAACTTAACTTGGACAGATGTATCTACTACAACAATTATACAACTAGGTCCACTTGTTAACTTTCTAATGGCCAACCAAAATGTGGATAATCCCTTCAAAATCGACTGGACTAAGGTTACATCAACTTTCAACATCTCTCCTGGATTTTGCTGAAATTATGTGTTTAATTCTACTTTCTACCACTGCAGGCAACGGGAATCTTAAAAAATCTCAGAATTAAGCTAGCACACTCCAATAGAGAACACAAAGTCACTGGACTTAGTGACAGGCTTTGCAAAGAGTTGAAGTAAACCCTTCAGCTTCTAAATTTTTTCCTTAATTTGTTCTCGTTTTTCATTCCAGTAATTTGTTTCTCTTTCCATTATGCTGTTTATTAAACAGGTTTCTTCTGAGACTGAAGGGATCCCATGATCAAAATGACAATGTCCAGACTGTTGAGGTGACAGTTTATGATTATTTTATTAGGAGACGTGGAATAGAGCTCAGTTATTCATCAAACTTGCCATGCATCAACGTGGGGAGTCAGCATCGTCCCCAGTTCATTCCTATTGAGGTAGTAGTTTTTATTTGCTTCTGTTTTTTCTTGTTATCCCAGTTCTTAATGTAATTTCTTGGATATTCCATTAGCTCTGCTCTTTGGTATCCTTACAACGATACAAAGAGGAATTATCCATACACCAACGATCCTTGCTACTGAAGAAGTTGCGCCAAAAACCGATGGAAATCATCAACGATCTTAATGAGGTAGCTTCACACCCCTTTACTCTTTTAAACAACAACAACAACAAATCCAGTTTGATCCCAACATGTGGGGTCTGGGGAGGGTAGTCTGTACGCAGACCTTACACCCCTTTACTCTTTTGACAATCTATATTTTCAGACTTGAGGCATAATGCCGAAAATTATTTCTGCTTTACTAGGAACTTAAAACCAACAATTATGACACAGACCCCATGCTACGAGCTTGTGGGATCTCAATTAATAAATCATTTACTCAAGTAGGAGGACGTATTTTATCTCCACCACTGGTAGGATCTTAGTTTAATATCTAAATTCCTTTTCTTTTCTTTTTTTAAATTATTGTTATAATTATAACTTGAAATCGGATGGCTCATACTTCCAAGTTGCTTCAATTTCAGTTGAGGGTGGGAAACAAGGTAGATCTTGTTCCTAAAAGGTCTCGCTGGAATTTTAATGACAAGGTGATTCACATTATTTTATCTAATATCTATATGTTCTGATTGGGAAGGACATCATTAACCTCTCATGCAGAAGTTTGCAGAGCCAAAAGGCATTGAATTCTGGGTTGTGGTTAACTTCTCTACTGGCTTTGACATTCGTTCTTCATACACCGAGCTGGCAAAATTGGGTGCAATGGAGGGAATGGTGATATGAATGACTTCTACAAGATATTTGACACATGCAAAGCTTTCTAGTTATTCACTGAATAGCATATAAATTTGTCTTTGTTGCAGCACATTCGTCCCCCAGCATTTGTTTTTGAAGAGAATCCTAAGCATAAAAAGAAACCGGGCTCTGTTCGAGTGGACCTGATGTTTGAACAAATAATTTCAAAATTTCGCAAGGATCCTCCTCGATTCATTCTCTACTTTCTTCCTACGAAGTTTTCTTGTTTATATGGTTGTAGAAATGTATCCATTCAGATCTACAATTTTTACTTTATTGGTTACTTGAGTGACTCAATTTACTGTTTTGACTGTCTTAGGTCCGTGGAAGAAAAAGTGCCTTATGGACTTTGGAATACGTAACCAATGCATTGCAATGAACAGAGTTGACGAAGCTTATCTTGCTAATGTTATCTTAAAAATGAATGCAAGAGTAGGGGATACATAATACATACTTGGATACCTTTCCCTGATTTGCATATGTTTTTTTATTGTTTTTAAATTCTAATTTGTGGTTTTCTTGCAGCTTGGTGGTATAAATTTTATGCTATCAGCTGAAGTTTCACAGACCATACCCTTGGTTTCTAAAGTTCCTACATTGATCTTAGGCATGGATGTTAGACATGCTGCTTCTGCACGGTCAGATTTACCCTCCGTTGCTGCAGTAAGTCCTATTCTTGTAACATTCGCAAGTAGCCATCCTTCATTTTATAACTTCTATGGCTGAATGTTTTTGCACAGTAAAGCTTGCTGTGATTTGATAGTAATCTCCCTATTTTTGTGCATTAGGTGGTTGGTTCTAGACAGTGGCCAATGATTTCTTGTTATGCAGCATCTATTCGTGTCCAACCTCCTAAGACTGAAACTATACATTCACTCTTTAAACCAATTTCAGAAGGGGAGGATACAGGCATAATCAGGTAGTGATTCCTTCCTATACCTTCAATAACCCTTCATCCCATTTTTGGTTTGCTTGGACAGAAAAACATATAGGACACGAACGATGATGAAGTTGGGATTCATATCAGGAGTTTGGTATAGGTCGTCTGAAGCATCTTAGGCTAAATATTTTTGTTTGTACTAGGGAGCTGCTGATGGATTTTTATGCAAGCTCAGGGAAGAGGAAGCCCGCTCAGATTATTATATTCAGGTCCAAAATCTTGAATTGATGTCTCTACGTCCTGACTTTAAAATTATCATCTGCATCCCCAACTATTTCTTCATTGCTGATTATGCCATTTCCCGATTGCTGATACAAGGCATTTTACTGTGGATCCTCATATGGTCCATCATAACAATATTATTATTTTCTCGCTCATTATCAGAATGAGTATTGTCTTGAGATTGCATTCTTGTTTGCCTATGTATAGTCCTTGAAAACCTCAAGGAGATGGGGGCTAATTAGGATTTTACTCACATATATGAACGTCAAAAGACTTGTAAAAGGTTTTGCTAATGCAAATTTTTCAGGCAAGGTTTATGTGAAAGTCAATTCAAGCAAATTATTAACGAAGTGGAGGAAATTATTAAGGTTTGCACTGTTATCCGTTATGATCAAGGCATATTTAAATTCTGCCATGTTGCTCGCGATTCTTATTTCACTTTATGGACCACTATAGGCCTGTAAGTTCCTGGATGAGACTTGGTCTCCTAAGTTCACTCTAATTATTGCACAAAGAAGACACCACACAAAGTTGTTCCAACCTGATTCCAGTGAAAATATTCCTCCTGGTGAGCTTTCAAACCCCTACAACTTTAAGTATTAGTGAAAACACCAGCATAATATAAATACATTTGAATACTTTTCTAATGGCAGGCACAGTCGTCGATACTAAAATTTGTCACCCGCTGTATAACAACAACTTCTACATGTGTGCACATGCAGCAAGAGTTGTGAGTATTTTACTAGCAAATTAACGTTTTTTGATGAAAAATCTGAAGCAACGCTTTGTCACTTACATAGAATGTTCAGTAAGGTTTAATATAGCTGTGTTGTCACTAGCATACCTGTATTCACTATATAATGTAAAAAACATAATCCAAATTTCAGGGGACTAGCAGGCCTAGTCACTACTTTGTTTTGCTGGATGAGATTGGCTTCTCGTCGGATGATGCACAAGAACTAGTCCATTGTTTATGCTACGTGTAAGTTCGTAGTTCTTATGCCTGAGTTTTACCCATTGTTTGAACTACTCTGATCTTTTCTATTTTGCCTAAACATTTTAGGTCTCAGAGATGCACCAGTGCTATATATGAAGGTAAGGACTAGTTATCAATGCAGTAGCCTGAGTAAAATGGATTGCTACTCATTTTTTTCTCTCTTGATTCTGAATGACTTAAGCAGAACCAGTAATAGGAAATAATTCACCAAATAAGTTGTCATTCTTTGGTCTTTACAGTGGCTCCGATTCGTTATGCTCGTTTGGCTGCGGCTCAGATGTTAGAAATTGTGAAGTCTGAGGGGCCTCAACTGCCGAAGTTGCACAAAAATATCAGGGACACAATGTTCTTCTGCTGATCTGTTGTACCACAATCTGTTAAAATGTGCAGATTCTTTGTGTTAAAGGCATTGGGAATTTGGGATTACAATAGAAATCTTTCTCTGAACAAATTAAACCTCAGATTGGGTTTATTGCTATATCAGTATAGACAGTAGGACAACTTTATATTTACTGCAGCACTTTGTTTTCTTTTAAGAGGATCTAGGGGAAAGAAAACAGTTAACCACCCATATTATCCATTACAAAATGGGTTGCATAATGAACTATTTAAAAACGGGTCAAACATGGATAAGAACCATATTATCCATTTAGAAAATGGGTAACCAATGGGTCTAACTTTTACATTTGTAAAGTCTCAAATTGGGGGTTCCTCAAATTAGGGAGACTAAGAATTCTCCCAAAAGTGATCATATATAACAAGTCATAGATAATATGGTTACTCATATTATCCGCCGGTTAACCCGTTTTTTATCGGTATTAAATATGGGTCGGGCCGGATAATTTATTCGTTTTTAACCCGAACCATATCCGATCCGATCCGCCTGTTGCCACTCCTAATAGGATCAAAGAGATTATCTTATTATGATACGATTAACTACTTTAAATATTAGAACACCTTTACAGCAATGGCAACTTATTTTTCTTGTATTTTCAATGCAAGTGTTATACTCTACCATGAATCATATCTTGTGGTGAAAGTAAAAAGTATGGACACAATGGGAAGAAAGAAAAACATTGTCCGTAAAGTATTTACCACAATGAATTTCTTTTCGGGAATCATGGTGGGAAGACGTTAATTTTGAATTACCGTACTCTTATTTATAACAACAACAAGCGCGTGCGCTTCAATCTCAAATAAGTGAGACTGACTATATGAATTTTTAATGATCACGTTTCTCCATTTTAAGCTCCACATGTCATACTCTTATTTAAGAAATTATTTATACACATTCAGTTTTTACCCCAAATCATATAAGTTTAACATAATTAAATGGTAATTGAAATGAGGTGAGAAACATAATAATTAACCATGATTAGGTAATAAAAGTCTATGTAAATCTTTTCCATTGGTCTATTGGTCACAAAGTTGCTATTTCACCTTTTGTCCACCCTTCCATGCACTTGACCATTAGTCCATTACTAATGTCATAATAAGATCTTTTCTGATACTACCCAAAACAGTTACTAGTACTTTATTTGTTTCAAAATGTTTAGCCTCATTTTCTAGATTTTTCAAATGTTGTCATCTTTTTCCTATAGAAAGTTTTAGTAAATTTTAATAGTACAAAAAGTTTTACTTAATATAGATAAAAATGGTAGTATTATTTAATTTCTTTTTAAAAAAAGTCAAATATGATGACAAAGTAACACTCATAATCAACTACTACTACATTTCTTAATAATCATGTAAAACAAAAGTCAAAAGGCAAATTAAGTGGGAGAATTTTTAAATTTTCCAACCAAAGAAAAGGATAATTCTTTTCCACTTTTTCCTTTTTTAGTTTATCATGTATCACGTGGGATTGGATCGAAACGTAAAAATAATCATAAAACGTATAATATCGGGGGTGTTATAAATATATTATATTATGGATGTTCATTTAGTACTCCGTTGTAAATAAGCTTCCTGAAGAAGCTTACCCATATGGGACTCCACCGTAAATATGTTTATCTATTTAGTACTATATTGGAAATAAGCTTCCTGAAGAAGCTTATCACTTCGGTACCCAGTTATGGATAAACATTACTCCGGTAGAAGATTATCCATACCGGGTATAATGAGCTTATCTTTTCAGTACCCGGTTATGGATAAACATTACCCCCG